GGCAGATAAAATGCACCATCACCTCCAGTCCACTAGCTACTGCTGTCCTTGTGAGGGAGGCACTTCTGCCAGGGGCTGTAGGGCAACGCCAACAGCAGGAAGAGGATCCCACCCACGATGAGGACAGCCCCCGCACAGCCAATACACGATACTGACCAGGAGAGCTCATGGTGGAGAGGAACTATGTGATTGCTGGCAAGAAAAGCCAAAACAGACTGGTGGAAAACCAGGAGGGACAGGAGCACCAGAACACCTGTGATGGAGGAACCAGAACGAGCTGTGAGAGGTATAGTTTTGGATAAATTTGCCTTAGTGAAGGTAACTTTGCTGCCACCTTTACTGACCTGACAGAATGAAGCATGCAGATGCTGGTTTAAGGAAAAACAGGATCTCCTTACTGAGAGCCATAGTGATGCAGATGGCGCCCATCACCATCAGAAACAGGCTGAATAGGGCCAACATTGCTGCTGCCACATTCAGATCTACATAGGGAATAATGACAGTGTTAATATAAGTGGATTTTGGACAGAACTCGATCAAAAGGTGGTTGATTTATTTCTGTGTTCAACAGGGGAAAACGTATCGTATCTAAAAGACAGAGCGGACAAGTTTGTAACCAGCTGCTGCCTTTGTTTTTGTCTCACTGTAATGTTGCTGTAGCATAGCGTTAGGGGGTGTCAGCACAGAAGGAGACTACCAGAGAGGATACCACTGACTGAAATGATGAAGTGGTAAAAACATTATTATTGTTCTGTAGCAATCAACTGTCAGCAACAAAGCGATGCATGATTTAAATCACTTTAAATGCGGACAGAGCTTTCGTGTGTAACAGCTCGTAGCAAGGTTGAACAAATGATACGTAAACCATTTTATATTTGTGTTAGTAGAAACCAGGAGCCTACTTCATGGCAAAAATATACACAATTAGCCAGTTCACTAATGACGGGGGTGACACAGTTGAGGAATGATTGTAACAAATTGCAAATGACTTCCAGTAGCAATGATAAAGCAGCTTTGTACGCAGTTTGGTTTGACTAATGAAAAATTAGCGATGGGAATGATCCCATGTTGCAAATCACAGCTTCCATGTTAAGGCATGAGGTTTCAGGAGCTTGCTCAAATAAAAGCTGCTTAACATTCCAGTTTGTGAATCACTCTGTTGTAATAAATGCTTAACTAACATTGTGACTGTTACCCAAACTAAATCTGAAAGTATTGAAACTACAGTGAATTCATGTTTTGGGGCATGCTCAATCATCCAGATAAGTAAACGCTAAAAGGTTGATTCTGTTCATGTGGACGTAACGTTTCGTCACTCATCCAAGTGACCTCACAGCCCATTGTTCATTCAGTGGGCTGGTTTAAGTCAATGTGCAAATGTACTGTTTTTAAGGTTGGGGAAACCTGCAGCTGACACTGAAGAAGTCAATTGGATTAATTCAATTCAATTTTATTTATATAGCGCCAAATCACAACAAAAGTCGCCTCAAGGCGCTTCATAGATACAGAGAAAAACCCAACAATCATATGACCCCCTATGAGCAGCACTTTGGTGACAGTGGGAAGGAAAAACTCCCTTTTAACAGGAAGAAACCTCCAGCAGAACCAGGCTCAGGGAGGGGCGGGGCCATCTGCTGTGATTGGTTGGGATGATGAAACGTTTCTCCCACTGAAAGCGCTACGTCCACATGAACAGTGACACAAATCGTGTGACACAAGTTAGGTTGAAGACAAAATCGGAAAACCCTCGGCTAGCATACACTCACTTAGACTCTGGAGAGAAAAGTTAGTATTTTGACCTTTTCTGTAAAACCAGCTGATATCCAGGCCAAGACTTCCTCTGCCATGTGCCAGTCATTGTTTATGAATGCTAAAATGTCATTGGACAGTTTAGATTTTGGCAAATTTATTTCCTCAGTTGCGCTCCACATGGACTCATTTACATGAACACAACCAGAGCTTTCTTAATTTGATTAGACTTCAGGTGGAATACAAATGCAAATAAGAAAGCTTGTAGTAATAGAAAAATGATTGTTTATAGATAATATTTGATTCTACTTATTTGCAGAAGTCGTTTTGCATAGATTACACCGAAGACACATTTTAGTTGGAAATGTATTAACACAAGTAATATTTTTTTAACTATAAGACAGCGGTACACAACCTTTTTTGTGCCATACACTGGTTTATGTCCAACAATATTTTCATGGACTGGCCTTTAAGGTGTTGCAGATAAATACAACAAAATTAAACCAAAAAAAAAAGAACATCTATTCATAACACACGGGGGAAAAAACCCAGGGAAAGCGAGTTAACGATAAAAAAATAATAACGATAAAAATCTATAAAAACCCTGAAAACGATAAATTTCACACCCAAGCCTCAACTCATGACTCACTACCGGTCCACTGGTTGGAGACCACTGCTATAAGAGACAGAATATAAAGTAGTGCGGTAAAGTTGGGAAAAGGGTCATCTTTGTTGTTGGATTCTGGAAATATATATCCTGCCAAAAAATAAGACAGCACTTTCTCTGCTAGCTACAGAGCTACAGATAATGTAACAGAAAATGTTTGTGTTGAACAATTTTCAGCACAAGGGACTACAGATGGTGGATGATCTGATATCGTCGTGTTGGTGTTGTTCCCAGATCATCATGAAAATGTTGTTCCAGGTTCAACATTGCAAGTGACCAATCACATTATTGTGACGTTATTCTTTTGTGCACCAACCCATTCGTGCATTTATGAAATTCAAATACAAAGGCGGTTTCTCGCAGCTTAAGTACAGTTTTTTGTTTTACGCCGGTTTTTCCCGAAGTCGCAAAAGTATGACATCACAACATTCTGATTGGTCACTTGCAATGTTGATCCTGGAACAACCTTTAGTATGATGATCTGGGAACAACACCAACACGAGGATATCAGATCGTGCACAGATGGTAGTCCCTCCAAAACCACCGATGCTACAGATGTAAATGGCATGTTGGATGTCTTGGAAATTGCTTTTATTCCAATAACACAATCATCTTCAGATGTAAAAGGTTTGGATAGGTGTATGGATTTTGAATTAGACTCCAAATGAATCATTTTTCATACTCGTGGTGACTTTAAATCACTAGATTGAGGCTTATAGCGTGACAATGATGTGGCACCAGTGAACAATGAGTTTTTAATGTGCGTCCGTCTTTCTTCATTCAGTGTATGGCGCTGTGTGATCTTAATACATTATGAAACTGCCAGTGAAATGGGAGGTTAGACAGCAGCTCGGAGGCACTTGAACGCAGCGTAGGCGGAATGCATTTCAAACACTCAGGGAGCAGACAATGACCAACCTGAAAGAGCGTAGCAAGGAGGTGAAGGGGGACACAGAGAAAACGATGGGACAGAGAAATACAGGGATAGATCATGGGAAAGGTGATGGCAGGATAAGAGAGGATAAAGATGAAAGGGCGGAGAGGGCACAGGTGAAAGGGGGAGGGGGTGGGGTCAGTGAGAGGTACATGTGGAGAAAAGAGAAAAGAGAGGAGTGGGCAGCTGAAAGAGCCTAAGTGACTCACTTTTCTGTGTCGTCTTCTGAAACATCACAGCATTTTCCCCTGTGGTATAAAACTTGAAGTACGTGCAGTTCGATTCTGCAGGAGAGCGAAAGACAAATCGCTATAAGTGACATGAACACTGACAGGTAATCTCCTGTAGTTGCAAATTATCTTGATCATCTTTTTGAAATTCAAGAAGCCACATCCCCACATCCTCTTCCTCTTTCCCACCCCTGGATGCTTTGGTTTCAATTATTCTCCATCAAACATAATCAGCCGTGAACGTCAATGACAAGCTCAAGGTGACAACCCAATGCTTCCTGCGCAATTTGTATTCTGCCTTCTTGATGATGTGTTACAGTAATTAGAAATTGGCCGTCAAATAGATTGTGACACCTCTATCTGTTCCCTCGTGCATTGGCAAACACGAGCATGCACAACACGCGCACACATCACTCTTAATTAGTGTGATCAAAGTCGCATCCTCAGTGTTCTGGCTTGGTCTCTTTTTTTTCTGCTGCTGCGGCTATAAGAGTTTCAGCGAACACTGCAGCACTCTAAAATCCCAATTGACAGAATTCAAATCCCATCAACAAATAAAGGCTCGCTGTAGCTGGCCAGTCAGGTGATAATTGGACTTTCCTTTCATTGACCACAGAACATGTGTACACTTTAATCCCCAAAGGAATTTGTGGGCCAGCATTTCCATCATCAGTGTCTGGCTAAGAAGAAAACCCCTAAAATAACATTTCACATTTAAATTGGATAAAGGAATTTAATAAAGCAGGAAAGTCAGAGCAGTCAGTGATGTAGCAGTTCATCTGACTCATGATCCATCAGTTCCCAGGTTATTGCCTGTAAATTCAACAAATGTGACCTTGAACACAGAATGGGTGGAGACATTATTGTAGGCGGAGTAGCAGGTCTCCTGAACTGTGGACAGACGGATGGATGGACACATTGTTGTGGTTTATACTGATCAGTCCTTTGACTGGATGAGCTAAAATCTGAAAATTCAATGATGATCATTTTTAAATTCTGAGGTTTGGGTTCAGCAACTTGCTGTTTTTCATGTTCTTCGAATAAATAAATCTGTGAATGAATAAATATTTGAGTTTTTATTGAAAATTGTAGTATAGACTAAAAGCTAAACTTTATATACATCCATATCATATTAAGAGGAGATTTTATCTCAAATTATACTCCATACATTCATAAATGGAATCACTGAGCTGTTTCAGAATGCATGTATGCATCACTATTGGTGCTATGTGATATCTCAATATGGCTACATAATATCTTTTTTTGAGCAGAATTAACCTCCTAAGACCCGAACTCTTCCACGGCATGCATTTTTAATTTGTCTTTGATATTTGGGCACATTGGGGCCCGATGAATGTAAAAACAAAGAATTACCAGATTGTTTTTGTTTTGTTTTGTTTTTATGAAAAATCAGAGCCACATATGAGGATATTCATTTAAAGTTTTAATAATAATGGGTTGGATTTATATAGCGCTTTTCAAGGCACCCAAAGTGCTTTACAATGCCACTATTCATTCACTCTCACATTCACACACACTGGTGGAGGCAAGCTACAGTTGTAGCCACAGCTGCCCTGGGGCAGACTGACAGAGGCGAGGCTGCCATATCGCGCCATCGGCCCCTCTGGCCATCACCAGTGGGCGGTAGGGTAAAGTGTCTTGCCCAAGGACACAACGACCAGGACAGAGAGCCCGGGGATTGAACCGGCGACTTTCCGGTTGCAGATGCGCTTCCCAACCCCCCCTGAGCCACGGTCGCCCCTACTGCTACTGTTGTTTTGATAGAACAGTAGCAGTATAATGTCCTCGTAAGTGGATATCAGGCCCTTGTAGAGCAAAATTCAGTATTTTGGTCTAAATAACCCAAAATGTGATGTCCACATATGTGGACGCAGGTCCTAGGAGGTTAAACCTTGGTAAATCTAACCATCCATGTAACCATATAAAAAGAAAAAAATGATCAAAATGAGAGTATATTATATTAGTGATGGGTGATCCAGCTTTTTTCAAAGATTTGGCTCTTTTGACTCGGCTCCCTTAGAAAAGCCTGGCCCTTCATTCAGAGCCTTGTATTTTAGCCTAATTTAGCAGTTCCGATTTATGTTACTTTTGCATTTTGCTCATTTCTTTAGCCTTGAATTCAAATTCATCTCCTTTTCTGTCTGTCTCTAGCCTGTACCGCTGCACTCGTTGTCTCCTGAGCCTCTGCCTTCTTGCTTCTTTTACATAATGTTATGATCCTAGCCTGTCTTTGCATGTGATTGGTCTGCTTGGTGTGCCCAGCAAAATGAAGAAGATTCTCAGCAGAGCTGAGCAGGAGCGGTTAAAAAGTTGTTTCGCTTTTGTTGTTTGCCACAAAGAATCGGCTCGTTTACAAATGACACATATTGCATTTGTTGTTCTACAGCCCATGATGTTCTGCAGGGTGTTTGACTTTGTAACACATGTACTGCACTTACTATAGTCCAGTAGTTTTTAACACTGTAGTTTAGCAATTTAAAGGAGTCTATAGCATAAAAGGAGGTTTGTTTTGTTCTTTGACAGTGATTCTTTTTCCTCATGGTGAGGGTGCAGGCCTTGAATTTTTACTTGTTTCAGCTTCATATTCATTCCTTCCACATGTTCAAAAAATCTCACTGCACCCCCGTTACCCAGCAAGCAAGTACCCTGTAAATCTTTCTCACTTGATGATAATCAAAGACATCTCTTCTCTGATAAGATGCAGAGATGTCTCTGTGGACTCCTCAGTCCAAAATCTCAATTTTGTTTTTTTATACGAATCATTTAGCAAAAAGAGGAGTTCATACAGGTGAGTCATGGAAAATAGGAGTGATACTGCAAATATGTCCTGGTCCTGGTTCTGGTCATTCAGTGTTTCTGATTTTTGAGTTAAGTTATACTTTTTGTATTATGGCTTTCTGGTTGTATGGTAATTATAGTTCTGTTTTTAGGTTTTCTGTTCTGTTTCTGTGTTTTTACTGTGTTCCACGTCTAGTCAGTTTTGCCTCTGTGCCTCATGTTTCCTCTGTTCCCAGGTCTGTCATGTTTCCACGTCTTAGTGTCAAGTGTCTGTGTGAATTGTCTCATGTTTCCTGTTTTATTTTCATAGTCCCTGTCCTGTGTGCAGTGTTTCTAGTTTTGCCTCCCCTTGTCTTGTTACCTTTGATTACTCCCAGCTGTGCTCTCCTCCTGTGTCTCATTCCCTCATTTTCCCTCAGTGTATTTAAGCCCTGTGTTTCTCTCTGTCAGTGTTGCTTTGCACCGTTACCATGCTGTGTGCTTTCCCCCCCTCTAATCCCAGTGTCTTAGTTCCTTGTCATTAGTTTCTCTGTTTTTGGATTTTTGGTTCCTAGTATGTTTTTGCTACAGCGCAATAAAGCTGCCTCTTTCAGTTCACTCTTGTGTCCTGTGAGTGCTGCATTTGGGTCCTTCATCCTATCTGCCACACAGCACACTTTGACAAAATAGCTTTAACAATGTTTCCAAAGTTTTCCAACCAACAGTCTCATTTTGTTCTGCACCTGAAACTGTAAGTTGTGAGATCAGTAGAAGCTGATTAGCTTGAGAACTGGTAGGGTATAGGACAGCATGACAGCATAGAGTTGGAGCATTGGGTATTATTTTAGTCTATTGGTGTTGAGGAACTGTTTTGGACATTTTGAAGCCTCAGCTGTGGGCTGTTTGAGCAAGAAGAGACCATATTTGTATTAGAGGTTTTCATTATCAGCTAATGATAGCAAGCTTGATTAACAGGCTGCATGCATAAATTCTTTAGGTGCAACACACGGACACCTGCTAATTGGTGATAGACTCAAATTTTACTCACCAAAACTAAAGCACAAAATTCTTGAGTGTTCTAATTATTAGTTAATGGACCAACAGCACAAGTATGAAGGGACTAAGTATATATGAGCCAAAGCTGTTTTCATACCAGGATGTAAACATGACTTTTATTGCTGTAAAGTTTGGCATTTTAAATGGGATCTGAAGTTTTTTGCAGTTCAATGTGGCAGTTGATTTGCTGCTTCGGTATACAGTAGACAAGTCAGTCTATCACAAGGATTACATATACCACCACATACTCTTGCATCAAAACATATGATCAGTTTAGAATGACCTGTTTATCTAATGTGCATGCCTTTGGACTATAGGAAGAAAGTATAGCGAGAACATGCAGACTCCACGCAGACAGGCCCCAGCCAACCACTGCTGAACACTGCTGAACATTTTAAATCATTAAAACAGATATATTAAAACCCATGCAGTATGAACACAAGTTAAAATTCAAGTGTTTAGACACTCAAACAGAAGCCGGATATTGTTGTCCTTGTTCTGTTGTATCCCTTCACTTGACCCAAAAACAAAAATGTGGACCATTTCACTCTGTAACAATGACTCAGTCAGTTACTCAGCCAGACTATTCAGCCTGCCAGCCATCAAACAGTGAGCCAAGCATCATTTGTCTAGCCAAAAAGTCAGGTAGACCACTCTTTCATTCTAACTCTCTCCCTCAAACTGAACTGTCCAACAAGCTCGACGGTTTGACAAACGTCCAGTCAGCTCATTGCTCCATCAATCATCTGTTCAAACCTCTTTTCATCAGACAGACTAGTCATCCATCATCCAAAAGTTAGACGCACATCCACCCAACTGGTCAGTAATTTCACAAGTCACCTCCAGCCAGTTCAGCAGGTCCGCAGCTCTCTCTCTCTGGGTCAATATCAGACACCCACAGGGTCTTGGTGCAGCCCTTCCACAGGCCATAGTGGGCTGTCAGACAAGTCTGCAAAACAAAGACTGTTGATTTAAAATCAGGGGTAATATTTTTTGCCATCGATCACAGGGTTTTGCCCTTTGGACCAAACAGCCTTTCATTTCTAAAAGGAAATGACTGTTTAGTTGGTACTTTAGCCTGTAATACTTCTACCCTGGACAGACACTCTGTCACATCTGTTTATCAGTGAAAACAGCAACATAGCTCATGAACAGAAAAAAGTCTGACTTTCACCTGATTGTTATCGAAACTCTTCGGTGGTGCCAGCTCCACCCAGAACTCAGTCCCGACCCCGAGGACTGTCAGGACTACACCAACAATGGCGACAAAGAATGCTAATTTGATCTGGTGACAAAACAAGAACAAGAACAATTTAAGTTAACATAAGGATTTTTTTTCATAAATGTACTGTCACTGGCGTGTGCTCAAGTCATGAGGTGTAGTCAGTTACAGTGTCCCTTACTCGCTGCCCTTTAGTCTCTAATTGTTAGCGTTCATTCCCAGATTATACAGTCAATCCCTGTTTGGTAGGGACCCACACCTGCCAAAATCTAATACACAACAAAAGATAAATTGCAGACTAACTAATGTGCCCCATTTATATAATATTTTATTCACAGCATTGTGCAAAAGTCTTGAAGTACCATTTCTTTATATTTTGCTTGGAAAATTGGGACTAGTTGCAATGATTATTGAAGCAATGCGGTATATAAGGCAAAACCAGACAGCTTGTACTCTCTTAGGCAACCTTTCTTTTAATATATTTTTGGAAGTCTTCAGGAATATCCCTAGCCCCACTGGCTAAAATATAGGCCCAAACTATGACAGAGCTATTTTTTTCTTTGTCATTATGACCAGATGTTCATTCAAAGAATAGTGTAACTGCCACTGCCTCCAGTAAGAACACCATTAGATAAATTTCCAGGTTATTGCTTATAAATAACTTTTGAATACTGTCAAATTCAATGTAGTGACAAAACGGGATGTAAACATCCTAAATAAATATGTTTAGATAAAACTAAATATACTGCATATATATGAGAGAGAGAGTTTTTAATAGAAAGTTAAACAAGCAAGTTAATGAAATGAAACACGCACACACATACACTTACACTAATAAGCACACACTCATCCCCCTCCCTTTCCAAACGCCTTCGATGCTTGTTTCCTGCGGGGGAACATGGCTGGTCTATGTGCCGCGCTGGAATGGTAGCGCTGTGCTGTGTTCGCTTCGGATTACTCCTCACCCCCCACCCAATCCTGTGGCTTGTCATGTCTTTCACAATGTTGTGCTGTGGACATTTATGTGCTTTTTGTACAGAGGAGTTTTTTGTTTCCTGTTCTCATGCTGTCCTACAATGGAAGCACAGCATGAGTAGACGTCTCTTTTTTCCTCTTGTACTTTCGCATTGTAGTGTATATTTCAGTGTTTTTCTGTAACGCTACCGATCTCCGACTTGTATCCCCATGTAATGTCTGTGTTGTGTGTGTAAGGTCGGGGTGGGGGTCCCATTTCAACCTGCATGTGGCAAATAAAGCTTTGATTGATTGATTGATTGATTGATTGATTGATTGAAATGAAGACATCACTTTCAGTTTGTCACATATTTATTTATTTCTAAATGTGTTTGTAACAGTAGTTTTTAGGGCATTTTACTGAGGATGTATTGATGGGTTTGTTGATTTATTTCTGTAATTTAAATTTTGTCCGTTTTGATCCTCCATACCATCCAGACAATAAACGGCAGCATAGAAATAGGCCTCCTACCCATCACTCCTACACACAGCACTACACAGAATCAAAACGGTGCTTTCAGAGGTGTCTGGCTGAGCTCAGTTACATAAAATTACTTAGATTATTTAGACTAAGTCTGTAAAGCACATAATGCTGACTTTTTTACTCATAAATCATAGTGACCAAACAAAGATATGTCCCATTCCCATTTTTTCTCATTGCCTGATGTTGTCAGATGAATGACGGACAGCAAGGCCAGAAAATTGTTCTAATAGTAAAATAATACAATTTTGAAATAGGAAAATTCACAGCTTTTCATAGTGACATACCTGTTTGACACCTCTAGATTGCATTTCAGTTTAATCTTTATCACCTTATTGTCAGATAACTTTTCAAAATATGTATTTTCTAATATTCAGAGCCATTTTCTGATCCTGTGGTGTGTTCCCTGTACCTTGACTTCACTTAAGGCAGCTATTTGATTGATTGGTTCTATTACCTCCAGACTACGATCATGCATCCAGAAAGTAAACATACATCCACACAATATAAAACCAGGTACCTTTCCCTCCTGGGCCTCACTCATGGCATGTCCTGTTGATGTTGTCCTGCGGCGCTTGTTCCCACCAAATGTACTGCGTCCACTCATCAGGCCGGCCAGACCCCCTGCACCCTGGGCTGGTCCTCCTGGTACAGGCCCGCCGGCCACTCCGGGGGTCCCTGGGCCTACAGTGCGGCCCTCCTCGTCAGTCACAAAAAACGTTGACCACATTTTGAGAAAATATAAAACTACCAAGGAAGCTGAGCAGGGTCCAGTCTGTGGTCTAACTCGATTTGGGCTTTTCTTCAATTCAAGATTAAGAGGAAATGTCTAGTTAGAAATTGAAAGAAAAACAATTAAAATGTCCAGAATGGGACCAGAAACTAGACATACAACGTCTTTAGCAGGAAAAGGTGCCAATTATCCTTCTCTTGAAAAAAATGCTGAGGAAAAATGGTGGCTTGGATGACAGATACAAAACCGCTAAGTGAATCATCATGGAGAAAATAAACGATTACAGATTAAAGAAGATGTCGTGAAAAGAGTATGTTCTGAACATCAGTAGAGGTAGGTCAGGAGAGTAAGAAAGGACATTTCCTAGAATGAAAAGAGGGAACAAAGAATCAAAAAGTAAGAGCCATTAAATATGTTTATATCATCATAAAAGAGGCTTCACATACAGAATGTGCACAACATGCAAGAGTCACAGAAATATTCAAAAGTGTCAGCTAGTTTTTTGTAAAAGGCTTTATTATATAAAATGTTATTTTAGTAACAGAAATCTGAATTCTCAAATACACATATACAAAGTCAATATAAACTAATTCTTATCTTTTTGGACATAAAAACCAAAAAGCATTAAATATGCAGAATTTAAACAATTTGGATAAAGGAAATGCAAATGTGTAATATCATGATCTGGCTCTTTGATTTATAAAAATCCCCAGCAATTTAAATCAAATGATTACATCTAAAACCATTGTGAACTTCATCAGAGGTCCCAACTCATACAAAGACATATTACACAGGTCTGTAACAAAAAAACTCCATTGGATTTTTTTTTTACTGTTTCTTATAGATGTTTACTATGGAACAGGATTAGGGCCACCGGGGGGAAAAAGAAAAAAAAAAGCAGCTACATCTTTTTTTTTTCCAGAATTCTGAAAAATCTATCTCAAAATTCTGACTTTAATCTTAGAATTAGAATCTTAGAATCTCTAGAATTAGAATTAAGGCAGCACGGTGGTTAGCACTGTTGCCGCACAGCAAGAAGGTCCTGAGTTCAATTCCACCATCAGGCCGGGGTCTTTCTGTGTGGAGTTTGCATGTTCT